CTGTTGCCAGTCATTCCTTTCTGACATTGATGTCCATGTATCTAATTAGAGGTTTTGCTGCTGTGAGGGGACACGGGTGGTGCTGTGGTCTAAACAACTGAGCCTCTTGGGCTTGCCAATTGGAAGGTTGGTGGTTCGAATCCCTGCGATGGAGTGAGCTCCTGTTGCTCTGTCCCACCTTCTGCCAACCTAGCAGTTCAAAAGCACACCAGTGCAAGTAGATAAATAGGTACTGCTGTAGTGGGAAGGTAAACGGTGTTTCCATGCGCTCTGGCTTCAGTCATGGTGTTCCGTTGCACCAGAAGCGGTTTAATCATGCTGGCCACATGACCCGGAAAGTTGTCTGTGGACAAACGCCGACTCTCTTGTCCTGAAAGTGATATGGGCGCCGCAATCCCATAGTCACCTTTGACTGGACTTAACTGTCTAGGGGTCCTTTACCTTTTTTACCTTTTGCTGCTCTGAGACGTAATTTCATTCCCTATAAAATTGACATCAGGTTGTGGGTTGCTTTTGATTACCAAAGGACTGACATTCTATGACCATCTTGTTTCACTCTCACCAGGGCCAGATTAAGACCTTTAGAGGCCCTAATGACTAAAAAGATTTTGGTGCCCTCATATTTATCTGATTTAAAATATAAACAACAATAAACTGCAAAAAAAACGTTTTTGAAATGAAACAAAACCTATAGTAAGATGGAAAATAATGTTTATTTTTGAATACATCTACTTAATTTATATTTGAACAATTTTCTCCTACTTTTTCTAATGGCAGAGTATTTGATCAGATCCTCAAAATGAATCTTACATAACACACCTGCTTCTATGCTTGGTAGTTGCAGAGTTGTTCTGTTGGGATTTTAATATACTTCAACTGAGAAAAATGAATGCTCAGCTGAGCAAGTTGTATGACCATTAATGTTAAAAATCCAGCAATGGAAAATTTCTGTAGTGCCCTGTTTCCCTTGATTCCCTGAGCCATAAGTTTTCAACCTTTTTTGACTCCATGGCTCCCTTGACCAAGTACCTTCTTTCTGTGGCACCCCTGTGGGGCTCAGGAGCCCATTTATGTCACCCCTTGCCTGCAGAGCAGGCAGCCTCTAACCCTTTTTTTCAAACACCCTTTCTTGTGGAGTGTTCCCTCAGCCTCCTCTCCTCTCCTTTGGGAGCCGCTGCTGCCATCCCTGGTCTCTGAGCGGTCCCCTCCCACCCCAATGAGAGGTGCCTCCTCACACTGCCCCACAGGGGCCTTGGAAAAGGATACCCCAGACTTAGTGGCACAATGGAGACTGGCCAAAGGTGAATATGACCTTGGGAGGCAGCAGTGGCTGCTGCTGCATTGTTGGAAACCTCCCCTTCAGCACCAGACACTCAGTTCCCAGGCAGACAATGCACACAGCAAGCACAAGAAAGGCCAGCAGAACACCTGCCTCCCTGGCCTCCCACTTGTCTGTCCATTCCCAGCAACAAGGGCTGGTGGAATGGCTGGCCTCCCTCATCCGCTTGCTTGCTTGCTTGATTATTATGGTGCTGCCTCAGCTCTTGGCATTCAGTACCCCCTGGCCCACCTCAGAGGCACCATTCACCTGCGAAGCTTGTAGCCAGGGCTGCTGCAACAAACAGCCACACAAGCCTTGGGGAGGCAGAGACGCAAGAGGGCATCAGAGGAGAGAGGGAAGGAAAGAAAGAGGGACAGAGGCCAGAGACCAGTGTTGTCCGCAGCACCCCAGACCACCATTCAAGGCACCCCAGGATGTCATGGCACACTGGTTGAAAACCACTGCCCTAAGCACATGTGTATTTTGCTTAATGGTTAATCTAGCCCTGATCCTCATCCTCAAAGAGCGAGCATTTCAGAGAATTTGCAGTAGTAGAGCAACTACATCCAGGGCCGTCTTAAGCATATCCAGCACCGTGGTGCAAAGATCCCTCCGGCGCCCCCTCCTGGCAACTCCAAATCAAGGGAGGGGTGGTAGAAAATGTCCTCTGCCTCTCCCACCACCCCGGTCCCCAGCGTAGTGGCAATGATCAAACAGGAAAACGTGCTGGCGGACATGCTCTCCAGTTTTGGGGTGCCCGAGAAGGCAGCCCGGGAAGGCTGTGCGCCGCCTTTCACCAGGAAGCAGCAGGAGGACAATGACCGGGAGCAGGGCCATCTTTAGCAGATGCAGAGGCTTGGGAGGAAAGCTGCATGCAGCTTCCAACCTAAGCCTCTGTGGGGATCGCTCTTCTCCTGTGAAGGCTTGGGAAGGAAGCTGCACGCCCGCCAGCCATATAGTTGGTGGGGTGCAGCTGGTGGGCGTGCAGGGAAAGGGGAGGCTGCTAGCAAAGCCGCGCAGCTCCCCCACTGACTAGGGCGCCCCTGAGAGGCGGGCACACTAGCGCAATGAACCACTAACACCAATGGGAAAGACGGCTCTGACTACATTGCATGCAGATGATCTCAGGTTGAAAACCCAGACCAGCATCTCCAGCCTAGAAAAAGACTCCTGTCTGAAACCCTGGAGGGCTGCTACCAGCCAGTGTTGACAATACTAATGTCAACTCTGACTCAGTATAAGGCAGCTTCTTTTGGTAGTTTTAGCCCCAAAGAAACAGTTGTGGAACCCAAACATTGTTCCTGCACCCACCCCACCTAACAGGTAATAGTGGTTTCACTTCCTTGCTGTCATGTAGATATAGGGAGCTACCAAGCTATTAAAAAATTTGTCTGGAGTAAGAAGGGGGAGAGAGAAAGGCAAGATATCAGTCATTAGAGATCTCTTGCTTAATGTGCTGTTTGGCCTTCAAGGTACATTCACCCACTTGCTTAGAGCAAAGGGTTTGGGTTTTTTGCTGCAGCCAACTGGCCATTAGTGTCCACTATGTCCCATGAAAAATGACACAATGATGGAATACCAAAGCTTAAATAGGATCCATCCTTCATATTGGGACAGAATGGCCAACAGAATGGCTGTGTGGTTTTGCTTTTCTGCCATGGTAATATCCTCTCAACCTGAACACTTGTAAATAATAGGTTTCGTGGTGGCGGTGGGAGCAGGGTGTCACCTGCTATTCAAGAAGCATCCAGGGATCATAAAATTAGTATCTGCTGAGTGGAAAATGGCAGGCCTGGTGGCAAGTGCTGTTAGGTCAGTTTCCCTTTTCTTCCTGCATTGTTTTATTTGGAATCTGGCAATTCTGGGGATGGCTCTAATTCTCTTTTGACTGTGGAAGCATAGGTAAATTGTACTGTAAACCTGCATAACTGAAAACTACCCAATTTTCCATGCTTGTATATAATAATAATAATAATAATAATAATAATAATAATAATAATAAATTTTATTTATATCCCGCCCTCCCCAGCCAAAGCCAGGCTCAGGGCGGCTAACAACAAATAAGTAATCAAACAATTAAATAGTCCAACATTCTAAAACATTTCATTATAAAAATTAATTAAAATCAAATTAATGGCAACCGTTGAGCAAAGTTCTGTGTAGGTTGCCGGAGGTGGAGTCAGGCTGCGCCCTGACCAAAGGCCTGGTGGAACAACTCTGTTTTGCAGGCCTTGCGGAAAGATGTCAGGTCCCGCAGGGCCCTAGTCTCTTGTGACAGAGCGTTCCACCAGATTGGAGCCGCAGCCAGAAAGCCCTGGCTCTAGTTGAGGCCAGCCTAACCTCTCTGAGGCCTGGGACCTTCAGGATGTTTTTATTTGCAGACCGTAGGTTCCTCTGTGGGGCATACCAGGAGAGGCGGTCCCGTAGGTACGAGGGTCCTAGGCCGTATAGGGCTTTAAAGGTTAAAACCAGCACCTTAAACCTGATCCTGTACTCCACCGGGAGCCAGTGCAGCTGGTATAGTACCGGATGAATGTGATCTCGCAGCGAAGACCCCATAAGGAGTCTCGCCGCGGCATTCTGCACCCGCTGGAGTTTCTGGGTCAGTCTCAAGGGCAGCCCCACGTAGAGCGAGTTACAATAATCCAGTCTGGAGGTTCAGGAGACCAAGTAGCTTAATTTGTATACAGAAAAACACCTTGTGACGCGGAAATAAGTGAGTTCATCCCTCACAAAGCTCGGTTAGTATTTGGGATAACCGAAGACACAATTTGAGGAAGAGCCCATTACTCAGCATCCCTGTTTACATTCTTTCTATGGGAAAATATCCCATTTTTCATGATGAAGAGATTTCAGTGGGGGCCATGCTTATCAGTTAGGTTTTATTCATAGCAACCCCAGCCCAAATTAGAGGAACTGCACATAAAAGTCCGTTTAACTCCTGCCAGATTCCATTCTGACAGCCATTAGTCACTGCAACGGAGTGCGCTTTGACGGCACTTTTAGGCCTTCTGCAGTTAAAACTGCACTGTGCGCTTGCAATTAAACCACAGTGACTCCCTCCCAAAAACTCTGCATACAACAGGCTGCCTGTGGCAGTTCTCCAAGGCTTTTTACAGCCTTGGAGCTGTAAAAATGGGTTCTCATAATCATGGCAATAGAGGCATAAGGCAAGATACAGGGAAGGCTTCTGGGATACGTTGCCCAAACTCCCAATATAGTTCAACCTGATGAGGCCCCTTAATATATGCATGCACATATTTCCAAATGGAGAGGGAGCGGAGATAGCCATTTAAGAAAACCAACTCTAATTCTCCATTTCTGAAAATTCACATAGCTTGGAGAACTTGTGGCCCTCCAGATGTTGTTGGACTCCAACTTCCAGCAGCTCCAGCCCACATGGCCAATGACCAGGGGCAATGAAAGATAATGGAGCACCTGGAGGGCCACAGGTTCTCATCCACTGCTGAGAGGCATAAGCCCACTCTCATCGTGGAGATATTCCACGAGCATCTATATGTTGCAATGACAATTTCTGCAATGTCTTCTCAACCAATACCACAAATTTCTGTCTCACCCCTATCCCTTTTCTCATAGTATGTTAGAAACTTACATAGAATTGTAGAGTTGGAAGGGACCATGAGGGTCATCTAATCCAATCCCTTGCAATGCAGGAATCTTTTGCCCAATGTGGGGCTTGAACCCACATCCCTGAGATTAAGAGTCTCATGCTCTACCGACTGAGCTATTGTAAAGTGTCATGAGAAATGTCCTCCCCATCCACTCCATTCTAAAGGTAAAGGTAAAGGGACCCCTGACCATTAGGTCCAGTCGTGGCGCTCATCCTTCTAATTCAGCTTCTAATTCTAATCCTTCTAATTCAGCTTCTAATTCACCTTCTAATTGGGGGTTGCAGCGCTCATCCTTCAAATTCAGCTTCTGTCCTCTGCACTCCACTGAAACGTCCCTTTAAGTTTATCCTCTCACTGCCAAACCCAAACATATTTACTTGGTCCTTATCATCCTCAATACTGCTGGAAGTCCTCCTCTTGGTTCCTATCCAAGCCTTCAGTTTGTGCAATTCTGTTTCTAGCTGCTTCTCCAGCCATTAGTCGGAGTTTGACTGGCGGAAGCTATGCTCTTGTCATTTTCAACCTGTGCTTATTCTGGTGCAGCTTGGAATTTGTCACTGATAATGCAAACACCCCAATTATTTCAGGTCATTAATAATATCTCTAATTGCACACATTCCTGGAGCTCCATGACTTTCCTTACCAGCCTGAGTGTGGGGGCCCAGAACCACCCATCTGTTCCTGAGTCCTGTTAGCTCCCATGTCCTTCTCCAAACATACCATTAAAGTAGAGAACATGTAAACAAACCAAGGAAATTGGATCCTTGATCTTTTTGCTGGAGGAAGTGACTCAGCGAATGAAGATGCATTTGCTGTCTCAAAGATGTATTTGCTGCTTGGGTATGGTTAAAACCATAAACCAGGGAGCGCATGGGATTAAGGATTCAACGCATTTTTTGATGTTTCCCGAAGGAGTAGCACTGCACCTCAAGAGATGGGGATGAACGCCTGTTTCTGATGGCTCAGATTTAATATGAATGGGGCCTCTTGAGAAATGTGTTTTCAGAACACAGCAGGAAGTTAGAGCTTGTGGGAGAATTTGCCCCATCGAAGGGAGTGTTTGCATCCTCTGTTTGTTTCAAGATTCCATTTAGAAAGCGTTCAAATGCAACCCATAAAATGGTTATAAAATGCCACAACACATTAAAGAAAACAGGCACTTTTTTAAAAAATTCCAAAATAAATACCATCAGTAAAATTCCAAAATTAAAAAATGGGTACCACTGAATCAGTGTGTATACAGGGGAGGATATGAAGAACTCAGTGTAGCCACAGAAACCCTCTCCTTATTCTGTGCCTTTCAGATGTTTTTGATCACAACGCCCACTAGCCCTAACACTATAAGTCCCCTGCCCCTCAAATCCCAGAATGTCGCCCAACCCCACAAAAAGGCACAGATTCCTTTCTTCCTACAGGGTCAATGCCAGAGAAGGTGATAGGCTGCAAAAGGTTGCATATTACTCTCAGCGTGTTTAAATATGCATCAGAAAAGTGTCCAGGCTTCCTGGGATTTACCTGATAGGGATCACACCTTACTATGTAGAAGAAGAAGATGTGAAACATATCTTCTTGATCTTACAGGAATTTCCCATTCCCATGTTTGTCCCTGTTTTATTTACAGCTTTCGCTAATAGTTGGAAGGTCATCAGGTCAAACTAGTTGGCCCAGAGCTGCGTCTTCAACACACCAGCACCCTACTCCGCTGATCCTGCCACAAATAAGAAACTTCTGGCTAGTAAATTACACCCGTTCCACTGGATGAGAGTTGCTGTCAATTTATTCCATACTCATGGTGAAATAATGCAAGTTCTTGAGCTTCGATAGATGGATGGTCAACAGGGAGCAGTCCATCTTCATGTAATTTTAAACATCTTTCAGTGAAAGAGGAGATCCAAATGCAAAACCCTCCAGCACTCAGGGACTTCATCTAGATTTGTAACCCTCCTTGGAGGATCTGGGCTCCATAAACTAGTGAATAGATTACAGTGGGACATAAATATCCTATTTTCATCTGTGACAGATATAACCTTGCTCTGCGATTTTTTAATGTTATTTAGAGTAGACCCACCGGGCTCATCCCGTCAATCCAAAAGTTTCAAAGACAAGGAGTGAGAAGTTGCTTTTGAAAATACAGTTGAAAACCACCTCTCAAAACTCTACTTTCTTTTGTTTTTGCAGACCACTGATATTTAATGATTGGAGGAATCACGTGATGGAAGTGAGACCAGCTAGGAATCAATGGATCCCAGATCATCTCACTTCCTGGAACACCCCGTTTCAGGGCTTTCTGCTGGCACTTCCTCCCAATCACATGTTCAGTGAGTGAAACAGGGAAGTACACATCAGCAGAGTGATGCTGCCTTCATTTCCCAGGCGGAAACTAGTGGAGGCCAGAAGGCCTAGACTGAGGGACACCTCCACCCAATCCACACACAACCAGCCCAGTGCAAGGGTGTGTGTGTTGTGGAAATGAGGATTAGGATAAAGCCAACTCAAGTACAAAATCTTAGTTACAAAGGTCTTACCATGACCAGCAGGGATGGGAAACAATTCAAAGAGAGGAGGAGGCCAAAGTTAATATTCTCTTAGCTGAGCCTAGGGAGTGGCCCTGCTTCTCCTCTCTTCCTCCCTCTGATGGAATAGCTGCTGCCAGGTCACAGCGGATGTCAAAACATCTGCTGCATAAGTTTCCTTTACAGTCCTCCTTGACATGTTCATGACTGTGCAAAGGAAGGACATTGGCATCCAGCCAATGTCACTGCCCTCATCAGGCTCACCATCTCAACCACTGTGTATTCAACAGGCCTGAAGGGAGAACCTTTGCACATTCCACCGAGAATGTGTGGCTGCCCAATTCAGACCTTCTCTTGAACGCACAGGGCTTTAAAGGAAAAGCCTGCAGGGTATGGTGGCATTGGAGGTGGGGCCAGCAGGCATGGAACTGCTCAGTTTGTTAAAGGGCACTGTAAAAAGATTTATTTATTTAACAAAATTCATATACTACTTGCCTGTAGTAAAACCACTAAGTGGTTTTCAAGAACTTCTAAGCAGTTTACAGCAAAATAATAATAACTGTGATTTAAAGGATCTTGAGTTAAAAACGTGTGCTACTTTTTATCCTGTCCTTCCTCAAAGTAGGTCAGGGCTGTGTACATGATCCCAGGGCATCATCCCAGGGCATAAAAGAGCTAAGCAGTTCTAGGTATGGATGGGAGATAGCCAGGGAACCCCATGCATGCTGGTTTGAGTCCTGTGACGGAAAAAGACGGGATGTAAAAATGTAAATCGCCAACAACACACTGACTCCTCATGCATGCAGTGATTTCCCATTAACTTCAATGGATAAAACAGCACGGGGTGGAATTTTCTTCCTTGTTGAAATGAACAAGGAAGTCCACTCCTGCAGCAGTTTTGCATCAGTGCACATGCAGGACTCAGCTGAGTGAGATGAATTAGCCTATTTCGTTGAATTCCAAGATATTTACACAGTTCTTTCTTTTCCATTGCCACTACAGATTCTGCATCATTTACTATGAAGCCCTCTGAAGAGCTCAGTTTACGCCTCTTGATTCTGATAACGACACATTTATGAATCCTGACATCCAAATATATGCCTCAATATAATATATGTGCTGTTCCAAGCAGATTGTTTAGATTCCCCCACCCCACCCAATTGCTCTCAACATAAAGCTTTTAAGTTCAAACTCCTGTATAATAGATGTGTGATTCTCAGGGTTTTTCTATTTCCGTTTAATTTATGGCCATCTTTTGTTTCATTCAGTAAAGCATGAAGTGGATTTAAAGCCAAACAGAACCATAATGAGCTTAGAGGATCATCTGAACAGATATCACTGTTTATTTTTTAATCTTAGCACCGCACAATGTCTTTTAAATATCACAGTGCATCCCAGGGAGTCCTTGCTGCAGATAGAAATTTATAAATAACTGGTAAAATCTTATAAAGCTTCAAAGCCTTTAAAAGCCAAGAGGATGGCACCAATTCAAAAGCTTTATGATAATCCCGGTAGGTCAAGGATAAGATATGATGCTTCTTGCAGTCTTTATTGGCCATCGTAACTAATATACAGATGGATGTTCTTGCATCCATGCTTAGGTTTCTTGCTGTTTTTTTATGGCTATACTGAATGTGTGGGTGTGAGCATTTCTGGCATGAAAGGGAAGCTTTTGGGGTGAGTGGGTTTCCTGAACCCCTGCTGGAACTCCTGGTTGGAGGCAGTAATTGCTTTTGAATTCCACAGGAGGGGAGATAGTTATTTTTATGTAATATTTTTTATTTGTTTTTACAAGTACAAATTTACCGTATAACACTTTTTAAAAAAAATAACCATACAGTGATACCTCAGGTTACATATGCATCAGGTTACAGACTCCGCTAACCCAGAAATAGTACCTCGGGTTAAGAACTTTGCTTCAGAATGAGAACAGAAATTGTGCGGCGGGAGCGGGAGGCCCCATTAGCTAAAGTGGTACCTCAGGTTAAGAACAGTTTCAGGTTAAGAACGGACCTCCAGAACGAATTAAGTTCTTAACTCGAGGTACCACTGTACTCTGAGAGTCTCTGAATCTCCAGACTTCCCTCCATCCCCTACATGGGTCCTTGTAGCAATATTTACAACTACATATGTCTATTCTCCATAGTTTTTGTATTCCAGAATTGTCCATAATTTCTGTTACATTACAAGTGAGTTTTAAAGTCCAGCTAAAGCTTTAATTTGTTTAAAATGGTCTCCTTGGTAAATTATAAATTTTCCCCATTCTTTTTAAAGTCCTTGTCTTCTTAATTCCTGAGTCTCCCAGTTCGTTTTGCCATTTCGTCACAGTCCAGCAGTTTGGCTTGCCATTCTTTCCTAGTCAGGATTTTTTCTTCTTTCCATCTTTGGGCTAATAACTGGAGGGGAGATTGCTCTTGTGCTCAGGTCCTGCTTGAGAACAGGATGCTGGACTAAATGGGCCACTGGCTTGATCCTGCAGGCTCCTCTTCGATTCTTATGTCCTTTTTTTACCTTATAGAGCAATCAAATCCCACCCCCTTATGCAATCACTCCCCTTGCCACAAACAGCAGTCTCTTGGTTCCTCAACATGCAGCAGGCATGTTCCACCA